ATCAACAATAGTGCGTGGCACTCCTCCAGTGTGCCACCAGTCCGCACTAATACAATAAAAGAAAGAATGTTTTGAAGGATTTATTGCTGTCTAACTGTGTTGCGTCATTTGTGTTGTTGGCTATTTTTGTTGCACTAAACCCTCATTTATCAAAATGGACAAAAGATGTAATTATACTTCTGGAGAGTTGCTTCCTGGCATTCTTCACATTACCGTCCGTGCCAGACAGTCCAGGAAACCCACAGAGATCTGATGTTTTTTTTCTTTTAGCCCAGATCTTCTTTTATGATGTTCAACAAAGACAAAATAAAATCCATCATTTGTAATTTGAAACTCCCCGTTAGGCCTTTGTTGCTTCTAGTTTTGAAGGTACGAGGCACATATTATCCTGTTTATGGTGCTTCCACCATATTTACAATAACCGTTGCAGCTAGCTGAAGCCCTACATGTTTCAGTGAAAACTTGCATTTTAAAAAATGAATTCATAAATTGAAAGAACCGGTTTATTTCAGTGGCGTGTTTGTGAAGGTTCTCAGTCATCCAGGTCATCGCAGTCTAAGGAGCTTGGAAAGAAAAGCGTCTGGACTTCTTTAAGTTGCTTGAAGACGTTTCACCTCTCATCCGAGAAGCTTCTTCAGTTCTAAGGTCAAATGGTGGAGAGTCCCAGATTTAAACCCAGTGGGAGTATCCCCCCAAAAGCAAAAGGCATCAATTTCCTGACAACCTTGCTTGCTATTAAATGACCAAAAACACAAACAAAAAGACTTGTACAGTGATCCGAGGGGCTTAAGAGGAAACCTGATGTCAATACAATGTAAGCTGTTTGATGAAGAGTTTCTTTTTTTTCTGTACTGAAAACAAGTTAAGTGTAAATTTGAACCTCAGACAATTCATTCAGACTCGTGCTGGATGCTGTTTTGCAGTTGCTCTGGTAGATTTATGCTTTCCTCTTTTTAAAAAAGGAAAACAATGTTTAAAAAAAAGCTCTTAACACACCAACACAACTCCACTTGACCTTTGCTAGCTGTCCACTGTGATACTACCCTTCTCTTGGCAGTCTCCCAGAAGTTCAGACACTGTACGTCCTTGGCTGCTGTCAGTTCTATTGTCCAGGCTGAAGGGAACGAGAGCACTGGGCTGCAGTTCCACCTGGTTCAGCTGTTTTGACCATTAGAGCCAATCAGTTCTATCGTCTCCCTTTCCTGTCATGGGAAAGTGGCGGTCGGCTCTCGAACAATCTCCCCAACATACAAAAACTTGACAAGTGGCCAAAGGGTGGGAGCGCCTGTTGGGAAGACCCGTAATGTTTTGTGTTTTCCATGTACTCCATGTTCATGTACAGCTGCCAGTACATGTGCAATGGGAAATGTTCAACCTCCCAAAACGGAAAAGGGGCTTTAGTTCCCAACTGACCTCTCAATACTTCTAAAAATGAGTTCACATGCCTCAAAGAGTCCCTGCCAACACACATTATACATCATGAGAAAGGCAGGATTGCTTCCTGATTGAACTTTAAGTGGGGGTGGTATGGTCAAAGCTTTGTTTTTTTCTTCAGAACAAACTACATAAAGCGACGCAGATTTAAGAAGCCACTGCATGTAGAATAACTGCTGTAATCACCATGAAAGGGATCCCATTAAAGTCAGACTGCCAGATTAGGAGGCATGTTCCCATTAGAGCACTTTAAAAAAAAAAAAAAATTTATTAAGACATTCCTCAGCACGGCCCAGTGGATGAATGCTTTCAAGTAGGTCACAATTAAATCAAGATATTATCCAAAACGCACGAGGCGAACTCACTTGCTGACCAACGTTTGACAAACTCAGAGGCACACACGACAGCTTTTTCATTCATTTTTATTCAAATCACCACAACAAGTCCAAATGAAACCAAATGCATCATGTTGGAGAACACAGGCACGGAAGAGTGATTTTTATCAACACAGCGAATAAGAAAAGCAGAGTACGCCGGTACTTTAGTTTGGTATTGTGCTCATTGAACTGAGCCTGTCATCCAGCAGTGCATCCAACAAGTGGGCTGAAAATTGAAAAAGAAGAGAAAAACTCCCTCCATCATGCCTCCTTTACGTATGTCCTCACTGCGATCACGTCTCCCATGATGCATTTCTGTGTGGAAAGGAGACGTCAGGTGATTAGAAGAAATCTGCATGTGCATCAACTCTGGCAAACATCACGCAGAGCATACAATCATATAAGAAGTCACTGCCAGACTTATTTTAAAATATATATATATATATAAATCTTCCTCAGGTATGTTGTGATGTTTTTATTTCCTGTAAAACTCCTCACTTTAAGACAAATACCTTTTATCTTATCATCCTAGATCATTGAGTATAAACCGTACATTTTAACACACATTAACATACTAATTCTACTATAAAACATATAGAACAGGGGAAAGTAAAATAACTTTACGCAGAACTTCTAAACAGATAGTTTGAGGATTAAAAAAAAAAAGAAGTCACACCGCTATCAATTTCCCATCTGTGATCTCTCTCTCGATATTCGTTTCTTTGCCATCCCAGCTCTGTTTCTGCACAAGTTTGCCGTTCTCCAGAGTCACCACGGTCTGCAGGGCACAAAACAGACAAGTGGTCACGTCCAGCACAGATTCAATCAATAATCAATCATCTAAAAGTCAGGCTGTGTAAATGCTTGTTCTGTCTTTCTAACCCTGGTCTTTCTGTCGTCTGCGGTCGTCTCATCAAAAGGTTCGTTGAGTTTGAACTTGATTTCGGTGGTTTTGAAGGTGCTCTGAGACTTCAGGCATATAGTCCCTTCGTCGTCCATCGTCACTATTAAATTGGGCTTGGTCCGGTTGCCCACCTGCCGGGTTGCAAATCCCACACCTGCAGAGCGCGAGGTGTCAGGAAATGTGTCAGATGTAGAGACGCTTTTTAATTAAAACGTTAAAAAAAAAAAAACTATTGTGAAAACTTGAGACAATAAAATTAATTACAATTAAGATTAAAATGTTTTCCCCCCCTAAATTTAGCTCCAACCACAGACGTTCTTACCGATTGCTTTCATGTAGTCGTCAAAATTGTCGCTGGAAATCATCTTCCATGTTCCAACAAATTTCTCGACCATTTTGCAATCCTTGAAAATTTTTTTTCCTCTTTATCCTCAACAACAAAGTGTGCAGCGACTCTGGGTTCAGCACTCTTCCAGTGTGGGAGCAGAGTGTGGCCGTTTTAAAGGGACAGTCCTTTTTTTCAGCAACGGTATAGGAGCCAATCACAGCCTGCAACGTAATATAACGAATTGTTGAAATCCCTCCTCTTGTGAGTTTTTCCCTTTTCCCCCACTTATTTATTTATTTTAATCCGTGACATAGTCGTGGCAATAGTTTTATATTCTAAGCTAAATGTGTATTTATCAAAATTAATCTTCAAACACGGTCATTTTATACAGAATAAACAATATTTTTCTTTGTTACAGTTTCTCTGGTTCCAGAGATGTCACTTCATATGGCGGGCCAAACAGGCCAAAAATGACATGTTTGTTTTCAGCTTGGTTATGAGCTGTCATTCTGTAGTGATCTGCTGATAAGAAGCCATTCCTCTTAACAGGTGAAAAATTGCCCTCCTAGTTTTAGGCTTAATCCCCCTTTCCCCCCTGCAGGCAGTATCCTTCAAGCTCAGGTCGTCTACCAGAGGCCTCGGAGTTTGAGGGTCCCGCGCAGTATCTTTGCTGTTCCTAGGACTGCGCTCTTCTGGACCGAGATCTAAGATGTTGTTCCTGGGATCTGCTGGAACAACACTTTTACCATGACAGTATCATGGTACAAATAACGGTGGCATGGTGGTTAACACTGTGCTCTCAACGCAAGAAGGTCCTGAGTTCAAATCCATCACATCCTTCTTGCCCTGTGACAGCTGAGAAAGGCTCCAGCACAATAGAATTATTATTATTAGGCCTTTGTAGGTGAACATTAAGTCAAATTGAGTTTATTATTAGTTTGCTGACTGATTTCATTTTGAGGAAATACAAACAGGGGCTCTGTTGATATTGTGATGACCTTTACTTCAGTTAAATTCACTTTGGATCCTTGTGTCTTGTTAAAGACTGGCAAAACTGTAATGTGTAATTTTAACTACAGGCTTGAATGTGATTAGAAAAAATCTGTGACTGACTGGTTTTTGCAGTTTTTTCACACCCAGTGACCTATTTAAGGTAGTTGCAGCAACCAGCTGGTCCCTGATCATGCTGCACCTCTGCTTACTGATTACCAGGCAACTGCATAGGTTTCCTGGTCGGAGGCAGCCTGTCTTGAAACAACTAGACAGCAAGGAACGCCGCGAGGTCGGAGACCCGGTCCTCATCTTCGAAGCAACAATTTCAAAGGCAACGAGATCGACACAGTTGCACACAGTCACAATAAATTTGGTCTCCTACCATCATTTTGCTTGTCAGTTAAAGAAAAGTCATTTGAAGTCATTTATGTTACAGTTCTTTTCAGGAAACCTGCCAAAAAATAAGTGTGTGGATGCAATAATGATCCATTAATAAAACATTAAGTCACAGATGGTAATGGGACAGAGGTTGACTATGTGAGAGGGCGGGATTTCACTTATCTGTGACTGGGTGAAAGGCTTTTTTCTCCTTTTCAGATGAGCTGGATGTAAAACTCTGTGCCAAATTACAGCTTTGCTGTGTCAAAGGTTGGAGCTTGCATGACGCTCTCTCAAACACTGGAATGGTCTCCTTTATCAGGAAAATGACACATTATGCAAGGACACACCGTGACCCCGTACTGATCGCAGCACCTTTTTTTTTTTTTAGCAGTTAAAGCATTTTAATTGATCCGGCAAATGTTGTTGGGAAATAACCCAGCTGAGAGAAACTATTTGGCCATATGACAAAAACGATACAGTTCTCTTTATTTTTTACTGTTTAGTTAAAAGGGCACAAAAGAATTTGACTATTAAATATTTAACCAACACAACATTTTAGATTAAAGCCAGCCAACACCATGTGTATGAAATGGAATAGTTTTACTGTACATGTTCAACAATATTCACAGATAAATACACATCTGCCAAGCTCATGATTATTTCTTCTCTCCAACTTTTGCCTGCGGGTCCTTGGCGACGCAGCGGGATTGAAAAGCACTCAGCATCTCACTGCTGGTCAAATTTGCTCCCTTCATCAGCAGCTTCTCTCCGTCTACTGCGGAAAAGAAGGACAAAAACACAATGAGATGACTCATAAGAACAACATGCTTAAGGAGTACAGAAAGGAAATGTTCAAAAGTTCACTCTGCACAAAAGTCGAGTAAGACACGCTGCGGCTCTGCTGACCTGTGGCAGACATCTCCAGCTTTGTAAAAGCCTGACTCACTGCGTGAGTGATGCTAATTGTATGAAATTCCAAGACTGGGTCATATGTTTCTGAGTGTATGAACTGCACATATGCACCATTTCCAGGACTTTATCCTATTTTTGAGTTTTTAGAATTTTTTTTTATCATCTTTGTCTCCCGTGACATATCTGGAATGGGCTTTTTAAAAACATAACCAGAAAGAGAGAACATTAAAACAGGTTACGACTGTCTTGAGTCAAAGGTTAAAGTGAACGTCTTAGTTGCCTTATCATTGTTGTGCCTGGAGGTGATTGTAGTTATGATTTGGTGCTCCAGAGTGATGGATGCATCAGGGTAAGAAGACAGATGGATGAAGTGATGCCTAGTGCCTAGTGTAAAACTCTGTGCGGGCGGCGTTATGATCAGGGATTACTTCAGCTGGTCAGGTTGACGTTAGGCAACAATTTCTGACCACAAACCGAGATCAGCTGACATCTCTGAAAAAAATGAATGGCCAAATTTTTCTATGAAAACAAATCTTCCCTGATAGGGAAGATGCATGAGATGGAGCCACCAGGTATATAATAGTCAACTGTGAGAGAGTGGTGGAGACAGCATGAATTGGACACCACCTTAACCCCACATTGAGAAAGACTTCATGCACAAATACAAGTTCTTGACAGAAAATGAACACACCTGTATAAAATGACATATTCTGTCTTAGCAGCAGGTTACAAAAGTCAGACAGCTACTTTTGTAGGCATTATTAACATTTCATAAGTGCTAGACGAGCCAGTTATGAAATTACACATCACTTCAGACAGCTGAGGGAACGACGGCAACGATCTCATCCAAAATAACTCCACCCATGAGAACACTCCCATGAAGTCTTGAATTGTAACGATATGAGCATGTAACTGGACCTCATACTGACAGCTCAACAACCGTCTCCAGATTGATCTCCTTAAGATGTCGTAAAATAACAAGTTAGCAGGCCTCCCCACCTATAAAACTACATAAATCACATTTGATTCCTCTTCAACAAGTGAAAATAGTGGACTGTGTATAAAAATACCTGTAATTTCTACAGAGTTAATGCAATCATTTTTTTAACCTCTCGAGTGACATCTTGATTGTTTAATTTAAAATCCACTATGGTGGAGTACTAAGATAAAACTAGAGAAAAAAAACAACTCATGGACCAAACTCTGCCTCCCCCACTCATTCTAATGTGCTCACGTCATACTTACCATAAGTGATATCCACTACGGGCTCAGACTTGTCATGTTTCACCACTGGTATCACCTCACAGTTCATGTTGGTAGCTCTGGCCTTCTCTGAACCCACTAAGGTCAGAAACTCCCTGTGGGACAGGAAAAAGAAGCTTTTTTAGATTTACCTTATAACGCATTAAAGTGACTAAGTACATTTCTTATAGTATGGTATGTTAGCACAACTCGAGATGCTGTAGTAGATGTGAGTATTTCCACAGTGGGGACATCGAGTATGACACACTTAGCTCCATTGCACTGATTTTACAGCAGTAATCACTAGTTACTCTACAGATTCAAAGTAAGGTTGACACCAAACCGGCAATCTGCTTTGAAGTTAGACGAAATAGGCTTGAAATCTACACATTAAAATAGAGTTTAAACATCAGTAATATAGATTTCCCTTTAGCTTTGACATTTTGTGTATTTTCTCAAAATATTTGTGAACCGTTGATTTAGGCAGTAATGTACACTCTAAGGCCACTTTAATAGTTACACCTCTTCAAATGCTTGTTAACACAAGTATCTAAACTGGGTGTGTAGACAAGTGGTCAAGACGGCCTGATGAAGTTCAAACCAAGCATCAACCGAGTGACTTTGAGCATGGCATGGTTATTGGTGCCAGACAAGCTGGTCTGAGTACTTCGCAAACTGCTGATCTGCTGGGAATTTCCCGCACAACCATCTCTGGGAGAAAATATCCAGCCGCAGTCATCTGGGTTAAAATGCCTTTTTGAGGTCATAGATCAGAATAGAATGGTAACACTGCTTCAAGCTAACAGGTAGTCAAGAGTAAATGAAACAACCACTCATTACCACCATGCAGATGCAGAAGAGCATGTCTGAACACAGTGTGTCAAACCTTGAAGTCGGTGGGACTTTGGCAGCAGAAGACCGCTCTGGGATTCAAGTTAGCTAACAACAGGAAACTGAGGCTAATATTCACACAGCAGGTTGGGAAAACATTGCATGCTCTGAATTTCTCAATTTCTGCAGTGACATTTGCACAGTATAAACACAGAGAAACATAAAAACACACGGAAACGTGGAAAATCACTACCCAATAATAAAGTGGCCGGTGTATAATGACCGTATAATGTCATGTGCAATCTAGATAACAAAACAAACGTAAGTGCTGAGATTACTTCAACCAAAACGTACTTTTAAACCTTCCATTAAAAGAGTTTAGACGAGACTTCGTGCAGCATGTCATATAGTGGTGCTATGAATTTACGGAGGGTTTCTTCAACTAACATTAACCAAATGTTGAATGTTTTAAGGGTGTCTTTACTAAGCATGAAAGCCAGCATAACCACAGTCTATTCCGACAAGCATCAACGAGCTATACGCTACATAAAACATGAAATGACGTTGCGGTTGGCGGCTGCTGGCTGTCGCCAACAGCCTTATTGTCAAATTACGACCGTTACCCGCCTTTCAGGCACACTGAACGGCTCTCCGACACAACAGCAGCGTCAAACGCGCCTTTCTTACCGTGTGGACCGGACATTGGACTCGAACGGACAAAACTGAACGGTTATTTTCTTCACAGCCTTCAATACCACGGTCGCTTTGCTGGGAGCCGCCATGTTTTCGATTTAATGACCTCTAACCTCGCCAGAATGATGGGGTTTCTCACATGGGCCACGAGAGGGCGCCACAGGATTAAGGATTCCAGTAGCTGCCTCACTAACAGGTCCATACAAAGGTAATTATTATTCAACACGACATGGAGCTGTTACTTTATAAAGAATGGGAGGTGATCATGATTTTTTTTAGCTTCATAGTTATTAAAGCAGGTGTTTTCCTATCCTTGCAGTCTTCTGCTACAGATCAAAAGATCATTCATAAGATCATTTATAAGCAAAGCAGGGACACACCAACAAATGTTTTCCCCTCTAGGATATTATGCATTAACTTGTGAAGTTATGCATTGTCTACTTAGTTAGGCACTGTCTGTTTAATATCAGCGTTTCCTGTGACTTGACAGAGTAAATTATTGGTGTAATATTGCTGTAGTACTCCCAGTGATAGCTTCACCAGTAAAAGCAGTTCACTGATAACAACACAAGTTGCAACACGGCTTTTATACAAAAAAGTGACTGTTATGTAAACACCAACATCCCCAATCAAAGTGACAAATTCAGAGGAAAAGTGACTGGGGCACCTTCAGGCGTGCAATCATCAGGACGTTGGAGAAGGGGGTCTGTGAGGAAATAAGTCAATAAAGGAGGTGCTGCTGTTCAAATAGACAATCTAACACTTTTTTTTTTTGCACATTTTGGGCGTGACCCCTTTAATACTTCTCAAGAGTGATACTTAAAAATATTTTTGGGGATCAGATATATTCCTCTCATTGAACAGTTTGTTTTCATGTGACTTAAAAAAGAAGAAGAAGGAGAAGAAGAAGAAGAAACCTTGCACATACTAATTACCTCATCTAAACTTTATCAAGGCCTTTCTTGACCTCTGCTCGCTACAGCCGGTTATTTATAGACACCCCTGGTGTCAGGGCCTGAGCAGAACAAATGTGTTGTTCTCAGATCAGTACGCCAGAGTGTGTGCTGTTTATCCCAGCTCTAACACGCCTCAAGTCTCTTTCCTGTGAGCGACAGCCTGACCCAGCCTGTGACAGTCAGCAGAGGCACGAGGGCTCTAAATTTAAACATTAAGGCTAGAGGCCGAAGCATTTCCTATACACCTCCCACCACACACGCGCACACCCATGCACACACTCACACACAATAAGTATTTGTCGGAGGCTTACTGTAAGAAAGTTGGGGAGAGGGCGGTCAGAAACAATAAATGCTCCAGGGGATGTTGACCTCAGAAAGAAAAGGGTATTGTCTTGATGTTGGAGTTCATCTATGAAGGCCTCAGCCTGAGCACAATATGAACTTATGAGATGGTCCCCCTGGGAAGCTGTGGTGTTTAACATGAGCTGCCATGTCTTCTTCTTTGCCACAAGGCTCTATCATTGCTGTTTCTGCAACATGTCGAAAGAAATTCATGCTCTGGTGCCAAAACCCTGTTTTGAATTGTTGTTTCCTCCTTGAGAATGACACCCAAGTTAGGTATGAGTGTAAACCAAAGTGGCTGTAGTATGAAAGAATGAATCAGAAGTGACTGTAACAGCCTCCAAATGAATGGCTAATGGGTAATAGAGATGAATTCACTTCTGAGGAAAGGTGGAGGATTGTGGCAAAGGGCCCCACCACTGAGAGGAATCACAAGGGCGTATCTGTAACACAGAATCATCGTACTGCTGACAAAATGGAAAGAAATCAAACACACTGAGTGCTCTTACTCATTAGTGAGTGCTCCCTGTTTCAATGCCTCTCTGTAAACCTATTAAATATAAATTAAGCACAAAAACTCATAAATCAGTAAATAACAAAAAACGATTCCTGCTGAGTTCCTTCCAGCAATCTGTGCAAAGTACAAAGCTACAAGTATGAGAGAGTACTGCACTACAGCCTGGAACTGTTACACTCTTCAGTGCATTGCATGTAATGGTCTGGATTGAACTAATTACAGTGATTAGTTATAATGTTTTAGGCATCGTAAAAAATAAATGATACCTAATTTGTGGGTTTTCTTCACCGTGAGAGAGATTTAATAAACCTCACACACGGTTACTTCACTTCTGAAAACTCAAAAATGTCCACATAGCAGCCAGGTAAAGGATCCAAATTGACTACACATCCCATAATCCCTCTTAAAGCTTGTATTTGAATTAAATGAACAGGGTTCAGTGCCCTGCAGAAGAAGTGACTCTGCTGCACATCTTCGCAAGCCACTGGGAGACGGTCAAGGCCACTCATAGGAATGGCCGACTACATTTCCCGTGAAGCCCTGCGGGGGCAGCTCTCTGGCACTCCTCCTCCACCTCCTCCTCACAGCAGCGTCCTAGCTGGCTGGAACGGCGGAGCAGACTGAAGTGAGCGTCCTGAAATGCGCGCAGGCTGAAGGACGAGCCGCATCGCTCCGTGTGCGGACACCGATCACTCTCACACCGGCTTCATGCAGCGCGTGGACGGCGTGGACAGAGGTTAAGAGCTCAGCGGGAAAAGCCAGGCGCACTTTTCTATTCAGAGCGGCCGCTGAATGCTGGGCTTTTTAGACTGTCTTCTCCCCTCCGGTGAGTGCATCTTCACATCTGTGTGTAGAAGTTGTGTTTTTATTCGTTGTTGTTGTTTTTTTAATATGTAGTCGGTATATCCAGTGTTATGCCTCTCTTTGTGAGTGACTGTCTGTGTGTGGACGGCTGCATTGGGAAACTTCACGCACAGGCTGAGTGTACTGAGAGTTGTGACTGCGGCAGGCAGAGAGGCAGCCTCGGTGTTCGCAGTGAAACCAAATTTAAGAAGCGGTGACAGTCACGCTGAGACAGGGACTTGTTGCCCTCCGCTGAGCGTGTCGTCTTTCCAGCTGATTTCCAAGAGTGGCGAGCTGTCTGTGTCTTAATTCTCGTTTTTTCCCCTGCACACTTTGTGTACGGTTTAGGGCTGCTGCAGTACACCGAGCTTTAAAATGAAAAACAGTGCATGCGCTTTAAAGGATGCAACCTCCCGCATAACATCTATTGCTTAAGTTTTGCACGAGCTCATAGCTTATGATGTTTTTAGGAAATTCCTGGTGATTCTTTTAAGGATCACGAGATCATTATCTGTTTTTTTTAAAGATGCATATTAACTTTACCATACACACGGATATGGTCATGTGCGTGGATGTTGAGCTCTGTGGATCCCCCCCACCGCTCCTCCTCATTGACACTAACAAGTATGGGCCGTCTTTCCTCCCTCTTCATAGCTCCAAGCAGCCATGCATGCCCTACTGCATGCACATGCATATACAGAGAGTTGCAGATGAACCTCAGACAGCTTTCCCTCCCTGTAATCGTGAATACGAATTTTCCCTCGGCTCACCTGCCGGATAAATAAACACCCCCCTTTTCACTCTCTGTCACTTCTCCCAGATTTGCCCCCCAAGTCTCCCCCTCTCCTGCACACGTTGGCACACACACGCACACAGGCAAACAGAGCCAAATGCCACCCAAAAAAACACCCCCATCCTCCCTCCGTCTGTGCTCAGTTGAATACGATATGTTGGCAGACCATTCACCCTGCAGCGGTCTGGCTTTTCACAGAAGTTGACATTCACTTCACTTCAGCAAACACAGTTTGTGCTTTGTTTCAGCTTCTCTCTGAGTTCCGCCTGTCACGTGCTAAACATTAACAAATTTGTTTTTTTGTGTTTTTGGTTTTTTTGTCCTCCTTTTCCTCTTTCCTGTGACATCACTTGATAAGAGCCCTATGGATGAATTCCCACCTCTGTGACAAAACTGATCCTTAATTTGTTTATTTGTTTTCCATACAGCAACAATGACTGCCATTCAGGCCTTTAAGCCTTTATGGAAATCAGAGGATTGGGAACGATGCTTTAAAAACGTTGAAATGCTCAGCCTGATGAGGTACGATCATGTAATATTATGTTTATAGAAAGTAGCTGGCGGGCGTTTGCAGCTTATAACATGCACATGTCAGACGGGTCAGAGCGGGATGTCTGCGTATGATTAAATCTCTGTCACTGTAAAAGCAACTGTGTTGGGCGAATGGGAGGGCGAGCTGAATGCTTTGTGACACTTTTAACTCTAGAGTATTCATAGCCTTGCTGCTAATGCTGGAATTTGAATGGAGATGAGGGGCTGGGTATGTGCAGCTGTTGTATGGAAGAAGGGAAATGAGTGAGTGTTCCCGAAAGAGTTGCAAGGTTTGGAAAATTTTCGGCCTGGTGCTTTTACTCTATAACGCAAGAATCCAACAGGTTTCCACACAAGTTCTTTGTCATTTTTTAAGCAATTTTGAACCTTTTATTGCTTCTTTTTCTTACTGGTTGGCTCAGCAACATCACAATAGTCAACTACACTGTGCTTTTTCACCTCCTAGCTCACGAGTTAGTCTAGTGGTTTGGATACAGGCTTATAAATGATACCTGTTAAGCAGGTGCTTCCAGGAAATAGAAATAAATGCACGGTAAAACTGTGACTTCAAGTTGTAACACATGTTAGTAAAATGACTTTGTAGAAAGTCATTTGCATCAGAAAATGGTTCTGTATTCTAGAGGGGTGGAGGCTGAGCAGCTGCAGGCGGGTCGGCGCTCATTAAAACTGGCCATAATGTGTATGGTCTGATAGAGAGCCCAGTGATGCTGCTGCTGCCCCGGGCCTGAAGGTCCTCCTGCTGAAAGGATAAAGCATAATCACTCTCTGTCTGATTGCTGCGGGACTATTGTTTCATCATAGGCTGTCAAGATGTTGTTTAGCAGACTACACACATTTCACAGTCAGTTAGGCTTTAACAAGCAAGGACATCAGCCCCATCATTGGTAGGCAAACAGTGGAGCGTTTGGATGTGCACCTCAGATTTTACAATTACCCTGCATTTGCCCTGAGGGGAAAAACAAATGCAGGCTTGAGTCTGGAGGAAGTGCGTGTTGCTGTGTGCGAGTGTTTTTGTTTAATGTCAAGCTTGCTTTGAATTGAGTAGTTTCTGCTCTTATGAAAATGGAAAATGCTATTATGTGGTGTTGTTGCAAAGAGCATTTCTTTCCATCATTGATCTGGAACGGAGAAATGGAAGAGCTAAATGTAATTATTGTCCCTCTCCACGCAGTTTCTGCTGT